CGGGGTGCGCACCTAAGAGTCACATAATTTCGAGAAACTGCCCGGTTTTCCAAAGCAGCCACACCATGCTACACGCCCACCAGCAACGCTCAGCACGCCGAACTCCCCAGGCCCTCGCCAACACCTGTCATCTTTGGGGCTCTGTAGAGGTTGTTTTCACATCAGCCATGTAAGTGGGTGCAAAGGGGCACCTCACTGTGGCTGTGAGCGGCATTTTCCTGAGGACTGGTGACACTGGGCGTCCTTTCCTGTGCTCGTCGGACACGTGTGGGTCTTTGGAGAGACGTCTACTCCAGTTCTTTGACCGGTTTTCAACTGGGCAAATGCCGTTTACCGTGGAGGTGTAAGAGCTCTTTGACTTTGCGTCTTTGTTTTGAGATTCACCCAGGTCACTGCGCACATTGCTGCTCATTGCTTTTTCTTTCTTTTAAAGATTTTATTTATTCATTTGAGACACAGAGAGAGCATGAGCAGGGGGAGAGGCAAAGGGAGAGGGAGAAGCAGGCTCCCTGCTGAGCCAGGAGCCCGACTTAGGGCTCGATCCCAGGACCCTGAGATCATGACCTGAGCCGAAGGCAGATGCTTAACCATGTGAGCCCCTCCAGGTGCCCCGTTAATTGCTTTTTCTTAATATTCTTCATTTTCTAGAGCGATTTTAGGTTCACAGCAAAACCGGGTGAGAAGTACCATGAAATCTACCTCTTGTCCCCACAACACACACACACGCCCTCCCCCCACTATCAGCATTCCCCACTAAAGGGCACATTCGTTATGATCAATGAACCCACAAGGACTCGTCATGAACACCCAAAGTCCCCAGCTGACGTGACGGCTCCCTCTTGGTGTGTTTATCAGATGGGTTTGGACAAAGGTGTGATACCCACCCATCAGAGTATCACATAGAATAGCTTCACTGCGCTAAACATCCTACAGTCTGCCTATTCACCCTTGCCACCCCCAGGCCTGGCAACCACGGACGTCTCCACGGTGCCCATAGTTTTGCCTTTTCCAGAACGTCATACATGTGGATTAACACAGTACTCGGTCTTTGCAAATAGGCTTCTTTCCCTTAGGAACATGCATTCGAGGTTTTTCCACGTCCTCTCGTGTTTTGACAGCTCATTTTTTTTTTTAGTGCTATGTAATATCCCACCAGCTGGATGGACCACAGTTTGCTTAGCCACCCTGCTCCTGAAGGGCGCCTTGGTTGCTTCCAAGTCTTGGTAATTAGGACTGAAGCTGCTAGAAACATCTGTGTGCAGGTTTCCATGTGGATGTTAAGTTTTCGGCTCCTCGGGGGGAATACCAAACAGGACGACTGCAGGCCTGCATGGCATCTAAGTGTGTTCCGGCTGCTGTCACAAAAATACCATCAACTCTGTGCCTTACGAACAACAGAAATCTGTCTCTCACGGTTCTGGGTGGAGGCTGAAGGAGCGAGATCGGGGCACCAGGATGGTCGCAGGAGGGCTGTCTGTTCTCTACTGCAGACTTTTTGCTGTGCTCTCCTGTGGTGGAACCTCAGAGGCTCTGTGGGGTCTCTGTCTTTTTTTTTTGAGAGGGAGAGAGAGCATGCATGCCAGAGGAGGGAGGAGGCAGACTCTGTATTGAGCATGGAGCCCCACTACACAAGGCTCGATCCCACGACCCTGCGATCATGACCTGAGCCAAAACCAAGAGTCAGACACTCAACCAACTGAGTCACCCGGTGCCCAGGGGTCTCTGTTTTAAAGACACTAATCCCACCATGAAGCCTCCACTCTTGTGACCCAATCACGTCCCAAAGGCCCCACCTCCTGACACCATCACCTTGAACATTAGGTCTCGACATATGAATTGAGGAGACACAGTATTTGGTTCATTGTATATGGTTAGAGTATGTTTAGTTTTGAAATAAAATAGGAAACTTCAAAAGCTGCTGTACCATTTTAAAGTCCCACCAGCAAAGGATGAGCAGACATCTGAGGATAGAAACCAAACCAGGATGAATAATAACAGCAAGAGTAAAAAGAACAGCAACTATACAAGAAAAAGAAAAACTTAGAAAAAAAAATCCCTATCACCAAAATCCTTACAGAGATAAGAGAAAATATCACAATCATGAAAAAAAAATTATATAGGGTGCCTGGGTGGCTCAGTCGTTAAGCGTCTGCCTTCAGCTCAGGTCATGGTCCCGGGGTCCTGGGATCGAGCCCCTCATCGGGCTCCCTGCTCCGCGGGAAGCCTGCTTCTCCCTCTCCTGCTCCCCCAGCTTGTGTTCCCCCTCTCTCTCTGTCAAATGAACAAATAAAATCTTTAAAAATAAATAAAGTGTATTTTTAAAAAATAGTATAAAAAGGAGCATTCAAAAGCCAAAAAGGAGCTCTTGGTAAACAAAGTGTGACAGCAGAAATCAGGCCTCAGGAGACTTAGAAGCTAAAGCGGAGGAAATGTCTCAGAAAGCAGAGCAAATAATAATAATAATAATAATGAGATGAAGAGAGGCAGAGATGAGACAAGATGGGAAAACCAGGGAAAATCAGAAATCGGTCCAGAAGAGCCAATATTCAAACCTGGCCATTTTGGGAAGAGAGATTAGATGAAGGAAAGGAAATATCCAACCAAATAAACTACAAACTCTCAGCCTGAGGACACGGGTTTTTAGGTTAAGGGCTCATCACGGGCTCAGGCAGAAGGAGACTCGCATCACTGTGAAATATCAAAACCCCAGGCATAATGAAAAGTCAGCTTTTAGAAATTAAAACAGGGCACCTGGGTGGTTCGGTTGGTTGAGCGGCTGCCTTCGGCTCCCGTAATGATTCCAGGGTCCCGGGATCCAGTCCCGCATCCGGCTCCCTGCTCTGCGGGGAGCCTGCTTCTCCCTCTGCCCTTCCCCCTGCTTGTGCTCTCTCACTTGTGTGCTAGCTCTCTCAAAATAAATAAAAAATATATTTTTTTTTTAATTAAGGGCGCCTGGGTGGCTCAGTTGGTTAAGCGACTGCCTTC